CCCTTTTCCTCAAAGAGCTCAGAATCTTAGAAGGAAGACAAACAGGATAAGGAGAATTAGTCACCCAACCCACAGGCTTGTGAGCTGAAGAAAATACAGTTGTTTTAAAATGCCAGTTTTGTGGTGTTTTATTATTCAACAAAACCTACATAGATGCAGACTAGATGTTAGGATAGTTACTCTTACATCATAGAGAATATAGGGTCATAATCATCTATATCTCTAGGGCTAAGTTTATTCTAGTCTATGCAGGTGATGAGGCTAAGATAGATCAAAACATTTTGATGGTTTTTATTTCAGGAAAGAGATCAATTACAAACTAAGAATTAAAAATTAATGATATTTTGTGCCCAGTTGTCTCTTTACTGGGTCATAGCATCCTACTCAAAATATGCACATATCAGAATGCAAATAACAGGAGTATTTAAAAAGTCCAAGAATGAGGTTGGGCGCAGTGGCTTCTGCCTGTAATCCCAGCACTTTGGAAGGCCAAAGTTAAAGGATCACTGGAGGTCAGTTTTCAGGATCAGCCTGACCAACAGAGTGAAACCCCATCTCCACTAAAAATACAAAAATTAGCTGGGCATGATGTCGCCCACCTGTAGTCCCAGCTACTTGGAAGGCTGAGGCAGGAGAATCACTTGAGCCGGGAGGCAGGGGTTGTAGTGAGCCAATGTTTCACTACTGCATTTTAGTCAGAGCAATAGAGTGAGACTCCATCTCAAAAAAAAAAAAAAAAGGCCAAGAATAAAATATATTCATAACACTATACAGAATACTGCTTACTTTCATTTTTCATATCTAGTTCATGTTTTGTCTCAGTAAAAAGCTCCAGAGTTATAAATAAGAATGCAATAATCAGAAGGCAATTAGAAACATTGTATTTCTAACTCATAGCTTGTTTTGCAAAGCACATTAATTAAATTATTTAAAATTTGCACACTGTTTGCTGTTTCACTTGTTAAAATGTGTTCTCACCCAATCAGAATCTATCTGTAAAGAAAAGCACAACAGAACTTGCTTGAGAGGAAAAAAAAAAAATATATATATAATATATATATATATATTATATATATATAGGTGTTATTTGTGTTGAGAAAGAAGAAAATAATAAACATCCCATAGAAAAGAGTTTCCAGATAAATCTTGGAGTCCCTAGAGGTCCCTCAGATAAATCTCAAGTAAGCATCAGAACTTTTAAAGAATTATCTAAGGCAAACTGGAAAATGAAACCCTGAGAGAGTTTCCCCAACTTGCTTCACTCTTCTTCAGGTGTATCAGGAACTGCTGACATCTTGCCTTTTGCTGAGTTGCTGACTTGGATTTTAAAATGAGACTTTCTCCCCAAAGGCCAAGAAAGGGTAGAAATAAAGGCGTTTTGCAAAACAAGCTTGATACAGGAAATATTTCCCTGTGGCTTTAAATACATTGTGGAGACCAAAAGAGGTTCCTTGGAAATCAGCATCTACTTATAATCATTTACTGTTTGAGATTTAGAGAGCAATTGCTGTTGCCATGTTGTCATAAATAGGGAATTTCTGAACTTCATTTAACAATCTTTTTTAAAGGAGGCTTGAAATGGCATATTGATTTGATGTGTTGGTTTTCGATGGTTACAAAGAATGGTTATTTTTAGCCTACTTGTAATTTGAGTTCCTTGTAACAATAAATGTTCTAAAAGCCCATTTTCTTGCAGTTTTGATCTCAGGTATTTTGTGCATATGTATGTAGTTGTGTGAAATAATTCAAGCTACAGATTATTGAATTTTGATTAAAATTAAAATACAGCCCAATATCCTGGCCATGTGGTTTTTAAGTACTCTCTTTCCTGTCAAGAATGAGCTGGGCAAGTATAAAAGGGATTTACACTCTTTTGAATAGTATATATCAGGTGCTTTAGAATGCTTCTTTTTTTTTAATCCTTTCAACAATTTGGTGGAAAAAATATTGTAATCAGAAATAATCAGGACAAAAAATCAGAGACTTAAAAATACAAATGAGACCATACGTTTGAAAAAAATACAAATATCTGATTACTATAAATACCTTAATTCTAGAACAATAGCTTCCAAAAATTTCACCAAAGCTTCAGAAAGTGAGTAATCATTAATGACAGCAACTTTTAATATTGAAAAGAAGTAATAGTGTAAAAAGTATATCTGTGGTTAGCCATCTATTCAGTAAATTATAAAATATAATACACAATTATTATATACAAATTAACAAGTATTAAAAATAAAAGGAAAGCAACACATGTATATATGTGACTTATTTACAGTTCATATATTTAAAATTACTGTCTTTAGAATACTTTTGACATTTTATTTGTTGATGGGTTAGATTTTTATGATTACATTGATTTTCTCCTAATTTGGTATTTTTTTAACTTTTTATTACATATATGTACATAAAATGCACAAAATCATAATTGTAAAGTTTAATAAACTATCATAAGATGAATATACCAATAAACCATCACTCAATTCAAGAAAGAACATTACCTATATCCCAGAATCCTTTTTGTAACCCCTCTAATTTCTACCTACCTTTTCCTATCTATCTTGTTCCACTATTTATACCTAAGCTTTGCTTTTTCTTGAACTTTAAAATAATGAAAGGAAGCTATGCGTAGTCCTCTGTTTATGGATTAATTTGCTTGACATTGTATTAGAGAAAATCTATCCATGTTGTCATATTTAGCTTTGGTTTATTTTTATTGTATAGTATTCCATAGAATGAATGAATATACTACAATGTATTTATTCATTCTATGCTAATAAAATTTTTCTTTCACAAACATTTTGGTGCATAAACACACATATGTATATGTATATGTGATACATAATTTATTAGAAATATACACAGATGCCGAAACATGGGCTTTTAGGGCATTGATCTGTCCAAATTTAATGAACAATGCCTCAATTTTAAGTAGTGGTGCTAATTTATATTCTTGCCAGCAGTATATACGGGTTCTGATGTTCCATTTTCTCATGAAAACTTGGTGTGGTCTCTATTTTTATTTTAGACTCTCTGGTAGGTATGAGGATCTATTTTGTTTTTATTTGAATTCCTACTTTTAAAGAACAGAGCAGAAATCACAGGAATTCTTATACGCCAATAACAGACTTAAAGAGAGCCAAATCAAGAATGAACTGCCATTCACAACTGCTACAAAGAGAATAAAATACCGGTGAATACAACTAACAAAGGATGCAAAGGATCTCTTCAAGGAGAACTACAAACCACTGCTCAAGGAAATAAGAGAGGACACAAACAGATGGAGAAACATTCCATGCTCATGGTTATGTAGAATCAATATTGTGAAAATGGCCATACTGCCCAAAGTAATTTATAAATTCAATGCTATCCCCATCAAGCTACCTATGACCCTCTTCACAGAACTGGAAAAAAACCACCTTGAACTTCATATGGAACCAAAAGAGAGCCTGCATAGCCAAGAGAATCCTAAGCAAAAAGAACAAAGCTGGAGGCATCACACTACCTGACTTCAAACTATACTACAAGGCTACAGTAATCAAAACAGCATGATACTGATACCAAAACAGAGATATAGACCAATGAAACAGAACAGAGTCCTTGGAGGAAACACCACACATCTACAACCCTCTGATCTTTGACATATCTGCCAAAAACAAGCAATGGGGAAAGGATTCCCTGTTTAATAAGTGGTGTTGGGAAAACTGGCTACCCATGTGCAGAAAGCAGAAACTGGACCCCTTCCTGACACCTTACACTAAAATTAACTCCAGATGGATTAAAGACTTAAACACCAGACCTAACACCATAAAAACCTTGGAAGAAAGCCTAGACAAAACCATTCAGGACATAGGCATAGGCAAGGACATCACAACTAAAACACCAAAAGCACTGGCAACAAAAGCCAAAATAGACAATTGGAATCAAATTAAACCCACAGCTTTGTACAGAAAAAGAAACAATCATTAGAGTGAAGTGGCAACCAACAGAATGGGAAACAATTTTTGCAATCTACCCATCTGACAAAGGGCTGATATCCAGAATCTACAAAGAACTAAAACAGATTTACAAGAAAGAAAACAAACAAACCCATTAAAAAGTGGACAAGGGATATGAACAGACACTTTTTAAAAAAGACATATATGAGGCCAACAAATATATGAAAAAAATGTTCATCATCACTGGTCATTAGAGAAATGCAAATCAAAACCACATTGAGATACCACCTCATGCCTGTTAGAATGGCTATCATTAAAAAATCTGGAGACAGCAGATGCTAGAGAGGATGTGGAGAAATAGGAACACTTTTACACTGTTGGTGGGACTGTAAATTAGTTCAACCATTGTGGAAGACAGTGTGACGATTCCTAGAAATAGAAATTCCATTTGACCCAGCAATCCCATTACTGGGTATATATCCAAAATATTATAAATCCTTCTATTATTAGGACACATGCACACGAATGTTCATTGCAGCACTGTTTACAATAGCAAAGACTTGGAACCAACCCAAATGTCCATCGATGATAGACTAGACAGGGAAAATATGGCATATATACACCATGGAATACTATGCAGCCATAAAAAATGATGAGTTTGTGTCTTTTGTAGGAACATGAATAAATCTGGAAACCATAATTCTCAGCAAACTGACACAAGAACAGAAAATCAAACACTGCATGTTCTCACTCCTAGGCAGGTGTTGAACAATGAGAACACATGGACACAGGAAGAGGAGCATAACACACTGGGGTCTGTTGTGGGGGAATAGGAGAGGGACAGCAAGGGGGTAGGGAGGTTGGGGAGAGAGAACATGGGGAAAAATGCCAGATATAAGTGACGAGGAGATGGAGGCAGCAAACCACATTGCCATGTATGTACCTATGCAACAATCCTGCAGGATCTGCACATGTACCCCAGAATCTAAAGTGCAATAAAAAATATATATATATGCAGAGAATGGTGAAACCCCGTCTCTACTAAATTACCAAAAAAATTACCTGGGCATGGTAGCAGGCACCTGTAATCCCAGCTACTCAGGAGTCTGAGGCAGGAGAATCACTGGAACCCAGGAGGCAGAGGTTGCAGTTAGCCAAGATCATGCTGAAGTGCAGCCCACATGGCAAGAGTGAGTCTCCATCTTGAAAAAGAAACAAGGGAAGGAAGGGAGGGAGGGAGGGAGGGAGGGAAGGAGAAAGAAAGAAAAAGTATTATTTTCTTTATTTGTATTGATTATTTGGATAAACATAATTTTTTTTCTGAAGAGCCTGTTAAAAATCTTTCACCATTTTTTTCTATTGAATTGTCTTTGTTTTTATTTTTATGTTTATTTATATTGAATTGTAGGAGTCCCTCATGTATTTTGGAATATCAATTTTTGATAACATGTGCTTTAGCTAGTGTGTCCCCTTCAGTGATAGATGATGAGTTGTAAGAAGAATTTCAAACTCAGATCAAGTAGAGTCTTGAGGGTAATAGCACCGTCCTAGTATTATATTACAGGTATGATGGAAACAGCATATTTGATCGTGGGAACACATAAACTCACTTGCAGTTTTAAAAATCATTGCAGCTACTGAATAGAATATACAGTTTAGGCAACTTAAAGTGGAGGCAGAGAGAGCAGATATGGTGTAGTAGTTCTCCAACTTCTTTTACTAGCAGTAATTTACATTTTGGTTCAAAAATCCACACCTGAATGTTTAGAGCAGCCTTATTCATAATGGGCAAAAATTAGAGGCATCCAATATGTCATTCAATATGTGAATGGATAATCAAACTATGGTACATTCATGTAATGTTATTTAGTAATAAAAAGAAATGGGCCGGGCGCGGTGGCTCACGCCTGTGATCCCAGCACTTTGGGAGGCCGAGGCAGGTGGATCACGAGGTCAAGAGATCGAGACCATCCTGGTCAACATGGTGAAACCCCGTCTCTACTAAATATACAAAAAATTAGCTGGGCATGGTGGCGTGTGCCTGTAATCCCAGCTACTCAGGAGGCTGAGGCAGGAGAATTGCCTGAACCCAGGAGGCGGAGGTTGTGGTGAGCCGAGATTGCGCCATTGCACTCCAACCTGGGTAACAAGAGTGAAACTCCATCTAAAAAAAAAAAAAAAAAAAAAAATTAGTTATCAAGCCCTACAAAAGATGGAGGAAATTTAAATGCCTTTTGATAAATTAGTTAATGTGTTTGAGCAGGTGAATGAATTTAAGTGTAAAAAAGCCAGTTTGAAAAGATTCTATACTACATGATTACAATTACGACATTCTGGAAAAAGCAAACTCTTGGGATAGTAAAAGACCATGGTAGTCCCTGATTGGTAGCGGGTGCTGGGGTCAGAATCAGAAACTGAGGGGAGGGATGACTAGGTCAAGCATAGGCAGTTTTTAGGACAGTGAGACTATTCTACATGCTGGTGTAATTAATAGTGGATACATGACATCATGCATTTGTCAAAACCCATAAAAATACAACACGATAGTGAACCTTAATGTAAGCTGCAGACTTTAATTAATGTGTCAGTATGTTTACCGACTGTAACAAACGTATCAATCACATTAATGCAATATGTAAATAATAGACGAAACTAAGAAAGTGGGAGAAGGAATATATAGGAACACTTTCATTTCCTGTAAACTTATATCTGCTCTGAAATAAAGTATCAATTTAAATAAAAATGTGTGTGTGTCTGTGTGTTATATATGCATGGAAACAGATACCTAGATAGGTAGGTAGGAAAGTAAAGACCATGGACAATTTCAATAGACAAACATTGGGTTGGTAACAATACTTGAAACAAGATATTATTAATGTCTATCATATAGAAAGTATTCTAACAAATTTGTCCTCAATTGATACAAATTTAATGCAAAAGAGAAGATGTGAATTTACATTTCAAAAAAAAAGGAGAAAATTCAGTGGTCAGTAAATATATACGAAAATGTTTAATCCCACAAGTGAAAAAGGAAATAAAAATTAAAACAATACTGAAATAGCAGTTAAACCCATCTAATCCACAAAAATTAAGTGATAGCATCTGTCATTGAAAGTGATTGGAAAAACGGGTTCTCTATTCCATGTTGGAGGGGAAATAATTGATATAGACATTTGAGAAAGCTATCTGGCAATATCTATTAAAGTTAAGAATGTACCTATCTTTAAAATCTTGGAATGTCATCCATGAAATCCAGGCCTCAAAAACAAAGTGTACAGAGCAAAAATAATATAAAATATGTTTAATATATAGAGAGGGATAAAAAACAAGATGTGCAGTTTTCTTTTGCTAAGGAAATGGTGGAATAAATTGTTTTATGGTTCTAAACTAGCTGTAGATTTGTAGAAGTATTAGATAGAAGTATATGATTGTAACTAAACAATGAGAAAATCCCTGGACAAGTAAGCATATTATTACACAACTGTGAAAAAAATTGAGTATGGGTATACTCCAGGTTCATATCAGTTACAGGCAGAAGGGATGTCATGGATGAATGGCAAAGGTCAAGGTTAGCCACTTCCACACACACAAAAATACACTTAAAAAGATTCTATAATCCTGAATATATATAAATAAGCTTATTTCCCCCAAGAGATACATGAGAGAATTGGCATAAAAATATTAATGGTGGTTGTATCAGACATGTGGAATTTCTGGAGATCACTTCCTGATTAATATTTTTCAATCACTGTTAATGCTTACAATTATAATTAAAACTATTACTTATAAAATTATTTAAAATACACCAAATATGACTAATTTTATAATAAAATACATAAAATGGCCCTAAGTACTTCTTTGAATTTGAAAGTAAAAATAAAAACACACTACCAACAAAAATAAAGGTGCTGCCACTGCATTTGTGTTCAATTGTGTGACTAAAAGTATTTCTACTTTTCTAAAAAATTATTTTACTCTATTGAAGTACTATTTTATAACGTAAGTTTATTTGAATTGTTGCTCTCAAAAATACATATTTATGAAAGAACAGTAAACTTGTTGGAGCTGTGTTGAGCTGGCAATTATGATTGTGAAATTGTATTGTGTATTTACGATATTTAGTGTGGGCTAAAGGACTACAGCGTAGGTACAGGATGAGTAAGACATAGATATATACTTTATTGCATGCATATAATAAGTTACATATGATTGTGCTGTATTTCAATTAACAGAAAACAGTCAAGAAGTGATTGGCTAATGGTACAGTCATTTCCTTGAGGCAGTCTGGCTGGAGTCTAGAGAAACTGAAGAATTCTGGTTGGCTCCAGACCTCATTTCCTTGTAGAACTTTTAAAACTAGCCTCACCAGAATCTCTAGAGGTGCTCAGCGGCATTAAGGCACGTTCTCCTCCGAGACCTGAGCATGAACTATGGAGCCCTTTCATGGTCACCCCTTGCCTCATCGGGGGTGTCAGATGAGGCCAGGTCTTTTTTTTTAAATATGGGGTTTCACCATGATGGCCAGGCTGGTTTTGAACTCCTGACCTCAGGTGATCCACCCACCTCAGCCTCCCAAAATGCTAGGATTACGGGCGTGAGCCACCACACCCGGCTGAGGCCAGGTCTTGAGAGTTGTGGGCACCAAATCCAACTGGTCACTCCAGTGAACCCTCAGGTTTGCTAACCCAACTCTGCCCCTCATGTTCTCTAACGATTATTCGTTTGAGGTGTTTCAGTGTTCTCTTTTACTCCTTCAGCTCTCCAAACCTGGGTTGCAGTTCTATGTATTAAACTTCCTAATAAATACATTCCATCACATTTCTCATACACATATTTAATTATATTTTCTTTTTTTTGTTACTTAGTTTTCCTTCTAACAGTCTAGCCCCTCTGCTGTACGATAATTATATTTTCTGAAAAAAAATCATAAATGCATATGAGAAATAATAACGCACACTGCTTTTTCAGGGAAATAGACTAGCATTCCCCAAGATGCAGAGTCCCATAGAAAGAAAGTAAAGTGGTGACAGAATTGACTTCACGCATACCATATGAATTGTAGAAATCACCATAAGAGTGTGACATATGACAGATATGAAGACTGTCAACATAACTCTCCCTATCACAGAACCTGAGAAAACTCATGACAGTTCTAGGGGAGTCCATTGTCCCATCAGAAAAATTAGGATTTGAGTTATAGTTTTTATGTATGTGGTGACATTTCAAACTTTATATACATACAAACCTTATATTCACATACATATGTTTAAGCACAAATAACAAATAGCCAACCTGTGCCCCCACAACACTCTCAGATCTACTGGATTAATTAATCAATTACAGCATTTTTAATGTCCTCAGGAGATCCTACTGAGGACCTCAATCTAGATTTTATATATATACTGTAAGCACAATTCTAGCTTTGTAGCTTTACGAGTTGAAGAAATATCTGTATTCTCTTAGTCTCAAAAGAATACCAGTGTTTTATGTTTGGTGGTGGGTAATGGGGCATGGATTTTTTTTTCCAAAGGAGTATAAAACATTTTAAAATTCAGCCATCTCCAGAGGGTGTAGTAAACACATATGATTTTTTTTTTTCTGCTGCCTTCCTGTAGTTCTGTGTAGTTACATATCTGTTATTAGTTTAAATTGTTTACCTATTCCAATTAATGCAATTTTATTGCATATAATCCTGAGACTTTTCATAAACCAATGGCATTTACAACTTGACCAAAGGAAAAATATATAGACCATTTTACACTTGATCTTAGCCAAAAGGCCGAGAAGCGATATATAGACCATTTTACACTTGATCTTAGCCAAAAGGCCGAGAAGCGATATATAGACCATTTTACACTTGATCTTAGCCAAAAGGCCGAGAAGCGATATATAGACCATTTTACACTTGATCTTAGCCAAAAGGCCGAGAAGCGATATATAGACCATTTTAAACTTCTACTGTGTTTTGGCAAACACGCACATTCACACACTCGCTGTCAGTGCAAAGAGCCCCACATAAAAATGTTTTATTAAGTACAGGCTTTAAATGTGTGGAGCTATGAGGCTACCAGTATTAACTCATGTAGAGTCCTGTTTTCTTCAAGATGTTATTGTGGAGTGAAAAGAAGTGGAAGGAAAGTCAGAGGCTCTCCTTGTGCAGAAGAATTTTGAGAAGCTCAAATACCAGCCCTGCCATAAGAAT